CAAACTCATTGTTGGAGTGTCAGCGATCTAAGAAAACGTCTTCCAGCTGTTTACGATTGACTTTAAGAGTGGTGAGAAGCCAACAGCAAAAGAAGCAGCAGTGGAGGCAACAGGGGCATGTGTGTCTCTCCACAGTCCTCTCCCGGGTGACAGCCAGAGCTTCGCCGCCACCTCTTTATCTCAGAGGGGTGGTGTCTGCCTCCAGCTCCTTGCAGAGGGACACACACAAACATGCCCATCACCTCCACTGCTGCTTCTTTTGATCATGAAGAGCCTGGAAGATATTTCCTTAGATCTCCGCCAAACTCATTGTTGGAGTGAAATGTGGCAGCCATGAGCTGCGCTTTCCTCCAAGTCTCATCCGAAAAGCTCTGTGCAGAGAGAAGCACCTGTTTCCCTCTGCTGCCCACAATGCTTAGAGGAAAGCATGGCTCATGGCTGCTAAATTTCGCTATGCTGCACCAAACGCTTTCCCACAGGGGTGGGTTCTAAATTTTTTTACTACCGGTTCTGTGGGTGTGGCTTATTTTGTGGGTGTGGCTTGGAGGTCATGTGACTAGGTGGGCGTGGCTAGCTAGTCAGTCATTTCTGGAAGGTCCTCATACTTACGACCAGTCCTCGCACTTACGACCTGACTCATTTGCTTGCTTTTAACACTGACCAGCTGTAGGATGGCCCTTTGAAGCCCCACGGCAAGAGTTTAAACAGTTTTTTTCCCTCTAGTCATCAGCTGGGACTCAGGAGGCAGCAATAGATTGGGAGTGGGACCAAATAAAAAGTAAGAATAACATGGGGGGGAGGGTGGGGGGGAGAACCGGTTCGGTGACGTCATATCGTCACCACTACCGGCTCGGCCGAACTGGACCGAACTGGGAGGAACCCACCACTGCTTTCCCATAAAGAGCAACAAAGGAAAGAAACAGACGCTGACCTGGAGAGCACATGGACTGCAGCAGCTCTGTGTGCTCTCCACTGGCTGTTTCTTCCCCTTCGCTAGTGCAGCACAGCAAATGTAGCACCCATGAGCTGCGCTTTCCTCCAAGCCAAATCCAGAAAGATCTGGCTGGGAGGGATGCCTGCGTCCACCAGCCCAGGGCAGTGGGCTCAGCTGCAGCCCAAATGAGTCGAGGAACTGTGGGGAGCCTCCTGTGTGTTGCACCCCCCTCCCAGCCTTCACCCATGTCTCCGTGCCTCCAGCGCCTCCTGAAGCTGCCACCATTGGAGCCGCGACAGGGACATGGGCAGACCAGTAAGCTGGGCATCTGAAAATGGCACAGAGGCACGGGCGAAGGCTGGGAGGGGGAGTGCAACATGCGGGAGGCTTCCCGCAGTTCCTTGGCTTGTCTGGGCTGCAGCTGAGTCCACTGCCCTGAGCTGGCAGAGGCCCTCCCCGAGTGCTGGATTCTGCTGTTGCTATCGCCCCTGGCCTGCCCAGCTCTTCTCTGGTTGGCTTACGTGGGCTAGCATGAGTGTGGCTCTCAAGGAGCTCAGCAACAACACCACCAAAAAGTTCTCCGGTCGGCCAGTGAGAAGAAGCTGCTTCGTGCTTTGCCTCAATTGCCCTTCCCGGCCGAAAAGCTGTGGCTGGCAGGCCGTGGAAACAGGGTCACCCTCTTGACTGGGGACCTGGGCTCATCCTCAGTGAAGCCACCCCCGAGGTCCAGAGGAAAGACTTTCTCCTGCATGCTCATCTTGCGGACAGGACCCAGCTGGCAGGAATGGGGTGCTCTGGCTGCAACCACGGGGAAGGCCTGTCAGAGGCAAGAAGGGGTGCTTTTCAGCCAGGAAGGCCAATGGAGGGAAAGCCGAGGCGACCACCACCACCCAACCGTGTCCTGACCTGGATATGGGGCCAGAGTATGAAAAAAAAAGTGTCAAAAAATCCCAAAAATTTTCGCCACCATTTCGGTGGGGGTGGCTTGGGGGGGGGGTCATGTGACTGAGTGTGTGAGTGATGTCAGGTTGGCCACACCCACACAGTCATGCCCCCCCACCTCACCACACCCACTGAACTGGTAGTAAAAAATTTAGAACGCACCACTGCTTCAGCCGTAATACTATCAAAGGGCTATTACATTTCTTTGAATGCATCTAGTCCAGCAGGCATGTATGTTGCAAAGATTTGGAACAGCGCAGTGAAGGTGTTGGAATAGGAGTGAGGAGACGCAGATTCTAGTATTTCCTCAGCCATGGAAATATACTGGGAGATAAGGATCAATCTTTGTGTCCAGCTAACCTTATGGGGGTTGCTATGGAGAGAAATATGAGGGTGCTCTCTACCCAGTTTGGAACTATTAAAGGAAAGACAGACTATTTATCAAATCAAATAACATACAAATAATTGCAAGCATACATTTATACAACTGCATAGAAGCTGCTGTTCTTTGAAGTAGTAATATTTCATTTCACAGAAAGAGGGGCAACAAATCCCCAAATATATCAGTGTTCTCAGTCTCCCTCTCATCCATAAAGCATCAAGCTTTTATCCCAATCCAGAAATACAATAGCATGTAATTGAAGGGTTAAACCTTTCTTCCCCGTGCTGTTAACTGGACATCATTCTTCAATGAATTCCTTTATATTTTTAAAAATTACATGATCAAGATTAGGGATGATATGTTATTTAATAATTCAGAGGAAATGAGGTGGATTTAGGTATTGTAGAATTTGCATATAATAACCAGGAAAGATAGGTGGTGGCTGGGGAAGATCCATAATCCCAGCACCAATGACTGAGCAAAGAAAACAAATAAAACTTTGTCAGGGAAATGATTTTTAAGATAATGTGGATGTACAATCCTGGCAGTTTAGACTTTATACAAAGCCATAATTATTAACCAGGTTTAATAAGCCACAAATATTAACCAGGTTTTATGCACCAAACTGTAATGCTTAAAACCCACATTGTACTAAATTACAAAGTTTAATTTCTATTATAGCTTAATACAATGCTTATTGCCCAATATACAAAACTGAATACCACAGTCCATTCTTTGCAAACTGTCACATGGGACACTTGGTGATTGTTTGGAGTTATAAAGTTATTGGCCTCTGTGTATGATGTCTGTATGTTTGTAAGCAAAGAGAGTATCCTAATGAAACAAAAAAAACAAAAACAAAACCCTGTCCTTCCAATGAAATGACAATGGCCAAGCACATGTATTCTTTATCTTCTCATTCTTAGAGAAATGGGAAGAGCTATCTGACTAAGCTGACTATCCTAGAATAATAATGTATTCGTTTCACTCCATTAAGTCAAATATCAGAAATGTGTCACCCAATTTAGCATTTTTGCTCTGACAAGCTATGTTGGGAGAAATTAGATCCCTGCATCCATTCTTGCACACCCTATAAAAACCACACTGGAGCAGGCCAAAAGCCCATGTAATAATGGCTTGTTCATATATAGTTACCAAAATGCAATGAGAAGCCCACAAGTTGGTTATATACAACATTTTTTCTTTCAGGAAACAAATATTGAGTAGCACACTTCCACTCATACTTCTTATTTAACCAATAACTTTCAGGTATCAGCCACTGATAGGTTTCCATTCTAATACCCTCTGAATGTTTTACTAAACTGATGGGAGCTATTTCCATAGGCTAAACTGTGTTTTGCATGAACTAGCATTTTCTCCTTCCTATGTTGAGTTTTACGACGATGGGATTTTGCTTTATTTTAAAATCACAAATGCTAGAAACTGAGTCATGGACCAGAGAAGGAGCCGTTGAATATGTCATTGTACCCAAAGCCGTAAAGGTGAATGATCTCAAAGTTCACAGCTGTTTGGTTAACCCAGTAATGGTGAACCTATGACACCTACACCAAGGATGACACACTACATTTTGGTGACTTCCCATTACCCAGCAACTATTCCCAAAAGTATATATCATTCTAAGACAGATTTTGGAGGCTGTAGAGGCTGTGTGAGAATGAGATGTATTCTCAGTGGCCTGTGGAAGTTGCACAAGAGAATTGTGCTCCTGCACTGCCTCCTGAGCCTTTAAAAAATCATGTGGGAATGCAGTGTGCTTTTATGTGATTTTTGGAGGTGGCAGAAGAGCATGATCCAAAGTTGCTTCAAGAACAAAAACTTAATGGACCCAGAGCTACTTCAAGTAGGTCACAAGGAAATGTCAACAAAAAACAGCCCTGAAGGCAAGCAGTGTGTGGCAGATCCTGGGGAATCACACACAATTTGACTGTATTTTTTTAAAATAAAATAATAAATTGTGTGTGTTTGTGTCGAGGTGGGTGGGGGGTGCAGCAGAGTCAAGTTAGGCATTTTCTGTCTTTTTGATATGCCTAGCCCAATGGGTTCACCATCACCAGGTTAACCTGTCCAGTTGCATATGGCTAGGCTGCCTTTACTTGAACAGATTGTAGGCCAAGTAACAAGGAGACAATGTGTAATCCTTGCTGCTCTTGGTTCCTTGTCCTTGTCCAAGGCTTTGGGCAGAAAAACAAGAGAGGCAAAAGATCTTTGAAGTATCACTTTTTATTGTCAGCTCTTGAACAACATATCCTTTATTAGTTTCTCAAGGTAAATGCTCAAAGTCTAATCAATGCACAATTTAAATAGCAATTGTGACTGTCAATCATTTAGACACCTTATCCATTGATAATACATTGTCAATGCAAAGGGTCATGTTGCAAAAAGAAAAGGAAAAAAAGTGGTGGGAAAGGAAAAACTAGAGACACACAAAATCTTGCAGTTGGGGTTGAAAAGGCAAATATTTTAAGCAATGTAAGTTGAAAATGGAGATGAGGAAAGGAAAGAGAGAGAGACTAAGTAAGGAAAACAAGAGAGAAATTAAAAGTATCTGCCAATTCATACAAGGCAGTTTTACACTGTGCAGGCTATCTCTCTCTTTTTCTCCAGAGCCTTCTTATTCCTTCGACTTCTGGATTCCTTGGAACTGAACTCATTTCAAAGAATGTTGTACATGCCCAATCACCATGCATAAAGATTTCACCCCCTGCCAAGAAATCACAAAGTTTATTGTTTTAAGGGAGCTACCCCTCTCCCTCTCCCTCTCCCTCTCTCTCTGGTATTGAGGAAACCCTTGGTCCCATCAGGCCCTCGTGGAAGGCGGATCACTGTAGGACAGACAACTGCTGGTTTACAGAAGATTGTGGAACGTGGTCGGGGACCTAAGGACTCTGGGTTCTGTACATCTGATTGATTATTGTGTGGTCCATGCCTCTTTTGTGTCCCCAAGTTTTCTGGACCTAGTCTATTTCCCCAGGAGGTGTTGGATGGTTTTTGTAATTCTGATGTGCCTGACTTTGGTGCAGAAATAGGTGAGGGGAATGGTGACCCTGACAATGCTTTGCGTAATTGAAGAGGTTCTGCATGTGATATGCTGGAGGAATTTGATTTGAAGGCCTGACCTGATGAGTTGTAAGGCTTAGTTGTACACCTGCCTGGAGGAGAAAAGCAATTCTGAGGAACATTAGCAGAAGAAACTGGGATACTATCTGGTTCTGTAGATGAACTGCAGGGGAGGGAGTCTTCAATGCCTTCTGATAACTTGTTGGCCCATTTTCCAAAAAGCATGGGTATCTCTTCAATCTTTTCATTATCTTCTTGACTGACCACATTCATCTTTTTGAGAGTAGAGAGGTTGATCACTTTGATGCTTTGCCCAGGAGAACAGAATTGCTTGTGGATGAGCCCTTCAAAAGCCTTTCGGGCACTCTTCAGCCTTTCATATTCCACCAATGCACACCATCTGATCAAAAGCTCAGGATAAGAAGAGGTAGCTTTCTTCACTGCTGAGGGGAGTTTTTTGCCAGGTCTGAAGATGCGTATGCAGGCAATGTCACCAAAAGGTCCAAACAGCTTTGAGATTGTATCCAGGAAGTTTTCTTGAATCAGGAGTGAAGAAGAATCGGATTCTTCACACGGAAGGACATTCCATGCAAGAAGCGTCTTGTTAAAAGGGATGTTTACAAAAGACTCTGGGATAGGTTCCTTCCTTCTCACCTTGGTCCCGTCTTCACTGAGTTCCAGCAACTTTGAGAATTGCAGAGCATAAAGGGTCACTCGCCAGTTCCAAGTTAAACGTTTCATCTAGGTTTTTTTTTTAAAGAGAAAAATATCAGTAGTGAGTAAGATGACCTTGATAAAGATATGCAAGCTTTCTTGACAAGAGATAACGCGTATTTTAAGTTCAGAACATACAGATAATATTCAGAAGTAGTTCAAACCTCCCTAATTCCCTAATTTTATTAAAACTGTAATAATAAAATCTAATTCAAATTTAGCAAAAAAAAAATTGGAAGGAAAAGTGCAAGAAAAAAGTTGCCCCTAATTCAATAGGACAGCTGCACGAAGCACTAGATAGAAAATTATTAAAAAGAACTGCCTTTAAGGGCTAATTGATCTATCCTATCGTGGCCACAGTCAACAAATTGATGCATAGCAGAGAAATAGTTGTCTCCTCCTAGCTATTTGCTCACCATGAACAAGGTTTTAGAGGTGCAATGCCTTGAACAAGGAGATTCCATTTAGCAATGATACACCAAAAGTAAATACTGGAATTTCTTCTTTCATAAATTTGTTAACAGAATCCTCTGAATCCAGCTAGGCTAGTGTCACATCTTGTGACTTTTCAGTTCCAAACTATATTAATTATATTTTGTATTCTAGAAAGCAAAAACTTGAGGCAATGTCTACTATGTTTCTGAAATAAAGATCAAGGAAACATGCCAAATTACCAATTGCCATTTCCAATTGCATCAAACTGGACTTTAAGTGTTGATCTTTATTCAGAAAATATAGAAAAGGTAAGGAAAAGAGCCGGATTAGAAAAATCTATTCACTCTTAAACACTTGTAACATTTAAAACCATTCATCTACATACATTTGGAAAAGTAGGATTCTATCTGAGTATAAAAACAGTGACCACTTTTCTTTCATTAAAACAACTATAATTGTTATCTACATTTCTAAAAGATATCTTTTTCAGTTTTTTTCCCAGTCCTGGGAGTTGCCATTCCAAATATGGAAGGACATCAGATTGGGGAACATAAGACGTTCAGATTCTTGGATCCAAGCAATACTTAACATCTCTCTTTACAAACAAACATTAAAAAAAAAAATTACCCACTTTTTTTAAAGTCGTTAGAAGTTTTATGCTCACATATCCTAATTTATTCCTTTGTATATGCCTCAGGAGGAATAAATCTTTGGACAAGTTGTCATCCGAAAAGTAGAATTCAATTTGCGACACAATTTTTTTAATCAGGAATGGATCTGGGATAGTGAAACCGCTGCTTTCAGAGATGCTTGAGTTGAAGTAATTGAAATTGTACGGAGCCCTATCCAGGGATAAAGAAAAAGACCAAAAAATTTAAAGCCGATGTCTTAAAATGTCGTTTATGACTTAAAAATACAGTAACATGGGTCAAATGTGGATAGAATTTTATTGCATATCTGCTATTTGCTCCTGTTGTACTGTAAGTTAACACATGGGACCATGCTATAATTTGGTCTGTCTTTAGTTTAGTGTTGTATAAATGCAGTGATTGTGGCTTGCAAACTGTAGCTTTTTGGCTTAGCATGCTGTGTGCTTCCTCTGAATTTGGTACAGAAATGGGGCAATTTTTGAAAGACCACCAAAAGTCTGTGATATTGTAATGGTGGACAATATATGGCATTGACCACAACCTGACAAATTTGGCAAATAATTGCAAGCTAGGGTAGAATCAGGACTGGAGAAGGGATTGCAATCTTATACCATCTTCAAACACTCTCTTCCTCATGGACATACATAAATCTGAATACTTGGAAGTTCCAGCAAATGTAAATGCACTATTTCTTATGAAATAGTGCCATCTCATCTAACTGACCCTGGGAGGTTTACAACAATGCCTCCTGAAAGGCCATTGCACTTTAAGATGGTATTCTTAAAGTAATATTAAAGAGGAATTCTGCCTGCAGCATTTTCTCTGCAATGGAATTCAATTATTTATGATTTATTTTATTAAACAAATTTATATAGGTACTAATCTCACAGAAGTGACTCAGGTTCATGTAATAAATAAATAAAACTACAGTGTAAAAACAATCATTTTTAAAAAGAATTTAGAGTTTAGCAAACTCTGGCCAAGAAAACCTGGATTGCTATGTTGTTGTCATGTTATTGAGGCTATATAACAAACTACATAATTAAAAACTTCAGTGACAGAATGAATGCTATCCAGCAAAATTGATGGACATAATAGGATTGGGTCCAGATGTCACACTAAACTATTATTTGCTTAGCAAAGGTTAAAGCATAATTGACTGTATTAACTTAAGCCTTAAATCATGGTTTATAAACTACAATGGGTTTTTAAACCATGATATATGGCTTATGTTATACAATGACTAGTATCACACAAAGTAAGCCAAACCCAAGAAAGCAGTGTATATCAGCTGAATATTGATTAGGAATTTTGGGATCTCTGCTCTCAAAACCTTTAAAGAACACCAGGAAGCTTGAAATAAAGGTTGGTTTTTTCAATCTGGAATATTTCCCTTGATGCATGGAAGATATTTCACCACCAGATAAGCTCAGCCTATCTGCTTCTCATTGTTTTTTCTTCTCTTAAAATAACCATTTGTTTATCACTCAGCATTTAGTTCAGATAAGATTTTACCCATAGAAATAAGTGGAAAGTGTTGCTTACCTAACCACTATATTCTCTTGTGGCACAAAATTATTTCTTGCAACCTGAGAAAACGAAGGGAGAGGATAGTAGCTGAGGGACTGGATTGGAACTGGAAAGAAATATTTCAGCTGGGATTCACACCTGAAAGCCATTGTAGAATAGATTGCTGCTTCTTTGAAGATAACACAAGAGAAGCCCTGTAGAAAAACAGCATTTTTAAAATTACTATTCGTTGCAAACTAACCCAGTTCAGATAAAGCACATTATGCTTAGCATGATGAATGAATCCAGGTACAGACATCCAAGGAAGCTCAAAAGTGAAACATCCTCTTAAGAAGACTCAGAAGAAAATTAGAAATAAACAAGCATCAACCCAAAGTAACACCTAACTAAAAAAATTGTTGCAGCAAAATCCTAGATGTTTAGAAGTTGCATTTCTATTATTTTGCCCCCAGGTACAGAAGCGTATGATTAATTCAAGGTTCCCTTGTTGCAACTTCAGACTTCTCCTTGTTTCCCCAATCTAGGTTGGAGCAGAACCACAATGGTCTTTTTTCATAATATTCCTCTGCCCTGTGCAGTACATACAAATTGAGAAGAGGAAAAATATTTTATCACAGGAAAAATAGAAATAATAAACATGTTCTAATCTGTCAAGTAATACATTTTAGAAGGAAATTTCAGATTATCTGAAGTACACTTTCCAACCACTCACACCACATGAACTCACTGTTGTAGCTATAAATAGTTGTAACTATTGCACTAGTTCACCTGAATTTGAAAAATGCCCTTCAACTGCTCATTCCAGATATTATTTGTTGGCCTTTTACAAGTCATCTTGAAGAAGAAAAAGCAAAGACCGAGAAAATGCTAACCTGTTGAAAGATAGGTTAAGGGAAGGTTTCAGGAAAGGGACCATCAGCTGCTCCCGCTTGACTATTAAAGCGATTTGCTGAAGCCTACTGCTGAAACCAATCTCCATCTTAAAGGTAAAGAGCTGCATCAAGGATAGAATGAGAGGCATCAACCAAACTAATAAACTGTAGTTGATTGAGGCTTAGTCACAGCAATTTTTTTGAATATATCCTGAATTCACTAAACATATTATACCAAAAGACTGTGTCTAGTCTTGTTTTGGTTTGCATATCATGGATGTGGGCAGTGTGTTTCATGAACCTAGCCATAACTTTTGGGTTCCTTCAACATAGTTCTAAGCTTAATGTGTTCTGGGCATCCACCCAGTATTGTTTATTCAACAACCCTGATTAAGCATCCTGTTTGTCAGCTTCAATTGCAAGAATACAGCCATGCACTTAACTTGGCAGTGTTACAGAAGTGGTTTATCACTACCTTCTATAAGATTTCCTCCCCTAAAATCTGATTCTGCTTAGCTTCTGAGTCTAGATAAGAATTCGGCTTATTAATAAAATATGGTTCAGGTAGCCACTGGTAAGTGTGCCATGGAGCCATAGAGCTTGTATTTGGTGTGAAAGCATAGCCATTCCTCTTTTCTCTTGCCTCTCTTCCCCTCCTCCTGACTGGGTTCCCACATCACATTCCCAGGTTGGATAATCTGAAGATTGCATTGTCCCAAAAATGGACAGCCTACAAATCATCCCATTAAGCTACTTATATCTAGTGTTCAGTAGTGTTGCTTCTGTGTGTTTGTGTAAAATCTGGCATCAGAGACTTTTAAGAGATCATTGGCATGCCACTCTGATCACCATGGGTTCAAGCAACATACAGCGACTGAACATTGCATGTCACAAGCCAAAACCAAACAAACCATAGTACGGCTAGGCTGATGGTTAAATGCAGCCATATTGTGCTTTCCTTCTCCTCATGATGAAACTGAGGGATGATTCCAGACTTTCTTTGCTCACCAAAGGGAGAAAAGTCTGCATATAGAGAAATAAATCACCCTGGGGTCTCTTGCTGTAGGACTGGAAAGTTGGATGGGCACTGCTCCAATCATAGTAAGAGGGGAATAACCCCAAGATGCTGCAAACATGATAAATACATGCCAGTAGTCGAACACCCAAATGTTGAGCATGTGATATGGGGATGCTGCAACAGGTTGTACATGTGAGGACTGGTCATGTCACCTTTTTCAGCGCTGTTGTAACTTTGAATGGTTGCTAAATGATTGGTTGTAGGTTGAAGATTACCTGTAAAGGCATTTTGGAGTGTGATTTTTTGTGATAAGATCACTGACTCTAGTGCACAACCCTACCCACACTATTGCCTCTGATCAAGGAGAGGAACTATGCCATCCCAGTAAGTGATTAGACATGATCCCTGGTGTTGATACTTATGCAACTTATATAAGTTCTATATAGGATTAGTACAATTCTAAAAAGAAAGGAAAAACATTGAAAAGTGGGAGAATCAAAAGCATTCTTTCTGTTCTTGGTTGGTTGTAACCCCCCCAGGATTTAGGAATTGGTGTTTTTGCCATCAACAACTTAATTGCGCACTCAGAAACCCTAAATTGGGGCATATGAAACTGTGTTGTTTCTGCTGGAGACTGCTGGGGGCCCAAAAGAGTCAAGACGGCAGCATTGCTTCTGCTCCCCTTTAGTAAATTGTGAGTTCCTCTTTTTCTCCTTCTTAATTTTATCTTTTCTGCTATAATTGCCTTTGAAGTTCCTGTAGGAATTTGGGTTTTGGCAGATACAATTATAGCTTCTTTCGTACATTATTTAAATGCCAATGATTTTTTTAAAGAACTCTAAAATTAAAAAAAAAAAGAAAGACAATTAAACAGCTAGCTTTTCAAAGGTTTTCATTAACTGTGACTCGCTGGAGTTATATAGGAGCTTGTGTTACCATAGATACTGTTGCTGGAGTTATTGTGGTCTCAAGCTTGGTCTGTGTTGGTGCTGGGTGTTGTCTCTTGCAAATATATATATATGTGTGTATGTGTGTGTGTGTGTGTGTATGTATGTCTATGTTTGTACACCCACAGAAAGATGTAGTCTTCCTTCTGTCAGCTCCATCTGTTGATTCTGAAATGCAGTTCTCTCATTTAAAACGCAAGATTAAAAAATAACCCAGGTGCAAAACTGAACCCACTCCCCTCACCCCACCCTCCCAAAGAAGAAAAAATTCTTATTATTATAAGAACAGGCATGAGCTGGTGTTTTTGTTTTTGCTGTACATATTGAATATTTAATGGGGGGAGATGAATATACGTATCTGAATTTGCATATTTTTTCTTATTTATTTTGAAACATTTATATTCCACCTTTCCAAATTGCCTTTCATACTGCACAGCATGGAAGCTGCATTCTAAGCTGAACCCCCATTTGGTCAATTAAGATGATTGTAACTTGCATCAGTTGTGACTAAATTAACTCCCATTGATTTCAGTGGTTGGGTTCTCACTCAGTGCTAAGCTATGGTTTGTTTTATGTTTTACTGAACAAACCATAGTAGTCTGATTCACACATTACCCCACTGCATCTGAGTTCGGAAAACTCAAACCAAATGACATTATGTTAAGACAATGTTTTAACTTGGCCAATGGGTTTTCTAGAAGAATGATTAACTAGGGAAGAAACCCCATTGGCTTCCTGAGAATACCACATTTAAGTTCAAAATAAAAGAGCTAAATTGGGCTGATGAAAATGAAATACCAGTTCAGATTCACAAATTTGAGTATGACTTACCATCTGTTTTTTACAACTTTTACAAAATTTGTACTACTCTAGATTTTAGAGTAACTAGCAAAGTAGGTTTGTGCCCTGATTTAGCCATGGCAATTCTCATAGGAAAACAGAATATCTATTAGAAATGAAATGAATGTAATATATAAATGAAATAGTGCCAATTTCTCTAAGCTGGTGTACTCCAAATGTGGTAGAATACAACCCCAATCATACTTAATCAATTGTGTTTATTTTTCCTCATTCAGTTGTGTCTGATCCTCAGGTATTGCCTGAACAAGACCCTCAGTTTCCTTGGCAAAGTTTTTTCAGAAGTTCTTTTTTCAATGCTTCCTTCCTAGGGCTAAGAGAAAGTGACTGACCCTAGGTAGGGGGTCAGCAACCTGCGGCTCTGGAGCTGCAGGTGGCTCTTTCACCCCTCTGCTGTGGCTCCCTGTCACTCAAATATGGGCCACAACTGCCAATGTGCGACACCCGCCAGCACACAATTTATTGACCTTTTCAACACCTGGTAGGCCAACCATGGATAAATCCAAGAAAAGAAAAGTTTCAGAAGAAAACAGAATGTTTAATTCAACTACATAGGCTAGTTTTGTGGCCACTCAAGAAATAGTCAGGCATGGGAAAGATTTTGTGGCTCCCGGTGTTTTCTTTTCTGTGAGAAATGGGTCCAAATGGCTCTTTGAGTGTTTAAGGTTGCAGACCTCTGCCCTAGGTCATCACTTGTCTTTATGCGTCAGGTGGCACTAGAATCTCCCAATTTCTAGGATGCCTTAACCATTACATCAAACTGGTTATCAACAATGCTTAGAAACTGCCAAACTGGTGGGAGGATATGTGATAAAGGTAGTCAGTGAGTCCACTGTGTAAATAAAAGATACGTGCTGAGCTTTTGTGGCTGTGATTTTTTTTTTTACTTTCTGCAGTATACTCCTGTCATAATGGGGCTTCTACTTTGGCTACTATTATTATCAGAAATATAACTTCTGTTCCCAAGAAGCACAGTAAGCAGATAGCCAACAAAACATTGCAAATTGCATAGGCTGCTGGGAGCCAGACTCTTGTTGTCTTCTACACTTTTATGGAATGAAGCCCTGTAGGGGTTTGAGGGCACTTAGGCTACACTATTTAGGCTGCAGAATAGCAGTTGTCCATTACATGATGGTACTGTTTCTCAAAATATGAGCAGCAGAGTGATCTACAGAGTTCCATCCAACCTTTTCAATTCATGGATCAGAACTGTTTTAGCCCATTTTTCTCTGCCTGAACTAATAATCAGCTGGTTTTCGAGAATAAATAAATGGCTGAAAATTGGTTCAGAGAAATGTATAACGTAATCATACAAATAACAACTTTAATACTATAATTCAGAAAAATGAAAATAGCAAACAATGGATTAACTGATTGTGAATCTATATGCCTTGAGCTAAGTAGAACTGTGATCTTGCACAGATAACCCAAAAAAGAAAACTTCAAGGAGAAAA